CCAAGTAGTAAATAGTTCAGCTTGGCAGGCAATATGGTCTCTGTCATAACTCTGCTCTTGTAGCATGAAAAGTAGCCATAGATAACCGGATCATAGGGTAGTTCCATTTTTACCTTTCTGAGGAACCTGCATACGGTTTTTCCACAATGGCTGCACCAGTTTGCATTCCCACCAGCAGTGCAAGAGGAGTCCTTTCTCACTACATCCTCGCCAACACTTGTTGCTTCTTATGTTTTTGATTGTAGCCATTTTGACAGGTGTGAGGTATTATCTCTTTGTAGATTTTATTTGCATTTCCTTGATGATGAGTGATGTTGAGCATCTTTTTCATGTGTCCGTTGGCCATCTGGATATCTTCTTTGGAGAAATGTCTGATAAGCACTGGGTGATGTAGGGAATTGAAGAAAAGAGTAGCAGCCTTAGATAACCTGTAAACAGATGTGCCTGGCTGTGTTCCAATAAAACTTGATTTTCAGACACTGAATTTTGAATTTCATAAAATTTTCATGTGTTGCAAAATATCCTTTTTTTTTTTTTTTTTTTTTTTTTTTTTTTTTTTTTTTTTTTTTTTTTTTTTTACCATTTAAATGTAAAAGCATTCTTGCCTATGGGCTATACAAAAACAGGCAATGAGCTGGATTCGTCCTGTCGGCCATAGTTTACCAACACTTAGTCTAGATTCTTGCCATAAGGATACAGAGTGGACTAAAAGATCTCTTACCCTGTGCACCTTACATTCCAGCAATGGGGAGGCAGATAATAGACATGATAATCAGTTTAGTACACGAGAAGGTGAAATGGGGAAAGGAGCATCAGGAGCACTGTGGCAGGAGTAAGTAAAAGTGGACTTTACTCTGAGCGGATGCGATGGGAATGAACCACTGGAGACTTGTACGGTAGTGTGGCTTTCCTGTGTTCTGTATTCCTGAGGAAAAGCCAGCAGTGCCATGGGGACACCAGTGGTTCTCCTGTGAGGAAATCCCTATTTGCATCCATACCAAAGTTCTAGTGTCTGGATATCCATCTTGTTCTGGTTCTTTCTGTGCCCTCCCTCCCCAATCATTACTGCCTGATTCATCTTGTCCTTTTTCATAGGATTTGAGCCAATGGAATTTCTTATTCCAGCGGAATAAACATAGTGAGCATATTTTCCTTTCTTCAGTGAATCTAGAAATCTTGCCTCAGCAGTAAATTACCATATATTTGCACAAAAAAACATTGAAAAATTATAAACATAAGTCTTTCAGAGAATGTTTATTATTTGGCGGGTGGATAATTCTGTTTATCATCAGTGATAGTCTCTGCCTACAGTCACCGACTAATTTTTGAGCACCTACCATTAGCCTTAGAGTGGATTTTCATGCCACTCAAATCCAGTGCTCTCCATTCTGAATGATAAGCCCTAAGCGATCTAGTCCCTCTCCATCTTTAGAACCTCCTCTTCTCCCACGCTTCCTTCACCTACTACACTTCCAAATTTACAGATATTTCTCTGATATTCAAATATGGCAAATTTACCCGCATCTCCGAGATTTGCATTCCCTGTCCCCATGCCTGAGGCCTAGAATGCTGTTCCCCAGTCATTGCATACTTGGGGGTATTTTTATCACAAGAAATGACCATCCCAGTGAGAGTTTCTCTAAAATGCAATTTAAGTCACCACCAATGACTTTCATTCCTTTAACTCTATTTTAATTGCCTGCGTGCCATTTATTACTACCCGATTTTGTGTGTGTGTGTGTGTGTGTGTGTGTGTGTGTGTGTGTGTGTGTGTTTTGTTGGTTTATCTGTCTTCCAACGTGGGAGATGTGAGCAGGGATTTTTGTCTGACTTCTCAGTTACCTAATCTATTCTAAGATATCTGGCATATATTAGGCACTCAATTATTTTTTGAATAAATTAATGAAAGAATGCTTGTATATGCTTATGCCATGTGCCCAGCACTCTGGTAAACATCACTGATGGAGGCGTCCTTGAACTTGTTCTGCTCTACTTGTCCCCTTCCCTTCTCTTATTCACAACCTGGTATCTTGAAAAAGTCGTCAGTGTTCTGTTCTTCAGTTCTTTCTACTTAACAACAAACCCGTTACAGTCTGGCTTGTATCTCTACCCCTCAAATAAACTGCTCACAACGGTTTCTAGTCTCCAGCAACTTCCTGATTGCTAATCCAGTGGATTTCATAGTCTTTATCTTATTTAACCCACCAGTAGCTTTTGACAACTTCTTCCTCAAAACATTATGTGTTCTGCCTTCACATCCATGACACACATCTCTTGCTTTGATTTCTTTCTCTTAAACCACATATATACTCATGGTTGCAATTTTGTGTCACATCAAGTAACACAAAGATGGAAAAATAATTTCTGCTTAATAATTTCATGTCTTCCTGCCGCTCTATACCTGAACAAATTTATGAGCCACTGCAGTGAGTGAGTGAGTGAGTGGTACATGCTTGTATGCATACCTGTCAAAACTATGCTTGACGACTTTTAGCTTGTCTTAATTCATGAACCACATTCTTTTATTGGAGAATATAAGACCTTTGTTAGTTATCATATCCCAGTTGACAATAGCTGAAATTGTAAATTCTATTTTGTGTAGCATTTGTAGGCATTTTCAATAGAAAAGATCTTTTAGGCTACTGTTATCCTCCAGTTTTCCATTTTAGGAAACAAACTAAACATAAAGTTGAAGAAGATTTTTATAGCCTATAGATTATTTTTCCATGTCAATAACATAAAACCTCCACAAGCCAACTGTTTGCCACATTAAACAGTAATAATGAAATTAGTTGGCACACCAGCACTGTTTGTTATAGCATCCCAATAAAGAACATAAGCAGGGCGCCTGGCTGGCTCAGTTGCGGGAGCGTGCTGCTCTTGATCTCAGGTTCATGAGTTCGAGCCCCACGTTGGGCATAGAGCTCACTTTAAAAAATAAATAAATAAGAAATAAACTTATCCAATTTCATTCCCATTCTCACCTCTTTCTTCCAATCTACAAAAAAAAAAAAAAAAAAAAAAAAAAAAAAGGAGTGGGAGGGCTATTAGGTTTTTCTCTCTCTGTTTAAAGCCCCTGCCACCTCAGGGGTTTAGCTCTGTCTTCTCCCTTCTCTCCTGTTTTCACCACCTCCCTCTCTACTAGCTTCCTCACATGTTCAGATCTCTTTCTCATTCTAATAGCAAACTCTACCAAATCCCCTTCCTAGATGTTGCTTGACCTTATTCTGCCCCTTGCTATTCATGCTTCTCAAAATAATACATACCTGCCATCCCCTTTTTTTCTGCTTCTGTTCAATTTTTTTAAATATTCCTTACTGTCCAATGTAACATACATATTGAAAAATGCATAGTTACATCACACACACTTAAGTTATATAACACCACTGTGTTCAAGAAATAGAAAATTGCAGCTACCCCAAAACCTTCTGTGCATTTTCTCCTCACTGGAAGTAACTACTATCCTGGCTTCTGTGAGGAATCATTTTCTCATTCTTTATGGTTTTATCACCTTTGTATTCATCTCTTCACTCTTCAACCTGTTGCCTTCTGCTCTTTATTACCTTTCTACCAATTCCAAAATTCTCATACTAAGGTTATCCATGAACAATTGCCAAATCTAACAGATGCTTCTCAGTTCTAATCTCACTAAGCCTCTGCTGTATTTTCCATTGCAGATCAGTTCACCCTTCTTGAAACTACTCTCTAAGGTCTATGACTATATTCTCCTGTGATTCTGCATCCTTCAGCCTTTCCTTCTCTGTCCCTTTCCCAGGTTCCTCTGTCTGCCCCTTAAATGTTATGCCCAGGGTTCCATCCTGAGCTCACCACTGTTCATATTGGGTACGGCGATGCTGTCCACTCGGGTCATTTTAGCCTCCACTATTATACGGTAGATTTCATTCAGAGCTAATCTTCAGCTCACACTTGTTCCCTCAGCTTTAATCTTACACAGACAACTGCCTAATGGACATCACCTAAATACACAGCATCCAAGTTAGACTTCATCATCTTTCCCTCTAATTTCCTACTGTTTCTGAAGCAGTTGTTGGCACCCAACTTAGAAACCTGAAAAGCATCGTAATTTCTCCTTTCCTTTATTCCTCATATCTTTTCAATGTTCAGTGATACCAGTTTTATCCCCTCATGTATTGGCCAAATCGATTCCCTTTTTCCTATCCTTGTTACTCTTGTAGTGTAGACCCTCGTCACCTCATTGATTTCCTAACAGCCACCTTTTTCACTGCATCTAACCTTCTGTTCATATTCACGCCCTCTACAACTACAAGCCAAAATGGTTTTTCCAAAATAAAATTCTAACTACTCTGCTCCCATATTTAAAACAACACTTACAATGGAAAAGCCCAGATAAACCCCAAGTTCTTTAAGATGACTTTAAGGCCCTCCCTTCTTTTGCCCTGCTTTCTCCAGCCTCATTTTTCAGTCTACCTGGCTAGGCATGTTATACTTTGTCAGCATGTATGCTTTCTTAGCTTCATGCATTGTTCATGCTAGCCCCTCTTCCTAGGATTTTCCATTTGACTTACACCTAATTCTTTAAAAGTAAATGTAAGTTTTGTAAGCATTCCCTGACTCCTTCCACCCCATCCCAATGATGGGTCCCCTTTGCCACTCCATTAAAACCTTGTACATGTTCCTCACTTTGCTTACATATTCTGTCATCATCTGTTTAGATGTCTTTCATGTTCTACTAGCCTGTTATGCTTCTCTCTCTGAGATACCTAATACCTAACACAGTACTGGGCACAACGCCTAATGGAATGAGGAGCGAAGAAGAGGAAAGCACATATTGACATGAAGTGGAAAAGAATTGTCATGTAGTGCACTTTAACACAGAGAATCATCTGGATGTGAGGTCCTAAACTCTAGGAGGCAGTATTTCTAAAGGATCTCTTACCTAAAAAGAGCTCTTTGGGAAAGAATCAGGTTTTAATTTTCTTCTAACATTTAATAAACGCTCACAAATATTCATGTTGCAGACCAAACCTGGACCCCCCAAAAAGCCGAAGACCCCTTCTGGACAATCGGCCTTAGTTTATTGCTACAACTGTGGGCAAGAAGGCCATTATGGACACGTAAGTTTGAGTAGCATTTGGGCATAACACATTCTGTTGTTCTGGGAGTGGTTGCTGAAAGATGAACTAAAAAAAAAAAAAAAAAAAAAAAGTAATTCTGAATGCTTACCTTTTTAATAAACTAACATCCTAAAGTAAGACTTAATGTATTTTCAACTGATTTGCTTTTCCCATCCCTGCCAGAGAGATCTGTCAGAGCACATTCTTCTAATTGTTTTAAATATACATGAACAAGTTAGGCTAAAACAAACAAAAACCTCATACAGTCAATCAGAGGAATAAAAGTAGTCACCAAAATGGTTACACTTCTCATGAGTTCTTATGTTTGCTATTACTTTGACACAGCCAAAATCATGACTGGAGATTTTCTATGTAGTTCTCCAGTATCTCCAGCTTTCCCTGATACTGTGTTCACTTAAATCTTCATCACTCACATATAAACCCTGACACTAGTGGAAAGACAGAGATACTGTATCATTGACTAGCCTGTCTGCCCCACAGACGTCCAGATTATCCAAGCTGCATATTCCCAGCCCCAGCTAAAAGGGCCAAACTGTGTGTGTTTTAGGTGCAAGAGTGTCAAAGCAGAAGGAATTTGTTGCTGTGAGATGGGAGGGAGTCTCCTAGCCAGTTGTCTCATTAAGTAAGAAACAGCAGCAGCGCATCCCAGAGACAGGATGCAATAAGAATAGACTGCAAGCTCTCCTGCATTCTGGGAATCCTAAGGCAGAGGAAGAAGGGCAGTGGCACAAAAAGTAGAAAATCTGTATGGAGAAATACATTCCTAGTCTCCTGGTAGGCTTCTAACAGCTTAGAAACAAAAATAAACTAAAATCAAATGCGATCTGATGACAGGAGGTAGAAAGCATTGGGGGTAGAGAGTCCTCAAAATGGGAGTCCTCAAAACTGTGAGCAGTGGGAAGGGGAGGGGTAGTGCTGCGCTTTGTGACTCATGGGAGTCCCACCTTGAATTCTGACCGTGGCACCTCATGCAGACCTTGGGGCTGGACCTCTGCAGCAAAGGGAGAGACACAACACAGTTCACCAACAGGTGAAATTTTTCTTCCACGTTGGGGCAGCAGGACCATGGAATGAAGGATTACAACATGAAAGCTAGGATGAAGTTCTGATCCTCAGGTCTGGCTTTTGCTCTGCTACTGACTTCATCATGTGACTTGAACAACGCACTCCGGTCTTCAGTTTCTTTATCTCCAAAGCAAAGACGTTTTACGGGGAGATTTCTCAATACTGACACTTGGATGCTGTTTCCAATGTGAACAAATCCATAGTATGGTGACATGGATGGAGAGACCCATACTCCATTTTCATAGAATGCACATTAAAAACTTTGTTAAAGAATACTTTTTCTTACAAAATTACCAGCTCTAGATCTTTTCCTGCTTTGTGCATTCCACCTCGTTGCCAAAATCCAGATGTTGCCAACACTGTTTAGGAAACCTATTCCCATGAGTATTCCATTGCCACGCAGATCACACAGATGTACAATTTATGCTTGCTGACCTCTTTAAAGCAAAAGGGTGTAATTTTCCATTTATGTTTGTTCAATTAAAGAAAAACAATTATAGTTGGGCACATATTGCTTACTAGTCAGTCCTGTTAATGTAGATAGGAAATATATTAAAAACATTTGGAATTTATCCCAGAAATCTAGATTTAGATAGTTTTTAATTTACAATAAAGCAAATTTGGCAGCCTCATCGCTGCCATAGATGAAGAATTCTAGATCATCCACACTAATGAAGAAGATCAGTGGTGTGGCTAATCCAGAATAGTAGATAAATTATATAGCCAACTATCAATTGTGTGTGCTAATGGAGGGGACCAGCGATGTGGATAATCAAAACATAATTTACATTTAGCTTTGGAAAATATTTATCGTATTGTATGGCTCTGTATAGCCACGCCAGTCTAGACTGTACAGGATCCAAATAGAAGACTGTGCAGATGATTAAAGATGTCTGAGGACCCCTCCCCTTCATTTGCAGAAATACAGCTCTATAGATGTTACTGAACAGCCTCTTCGTATAAAAGGTATTCTGAGGTGAATGTGGCACTGCCCTTCCCTAACCTCACTCATCGTGTAGTTGGAGAGGCAGGGACAGTCCTAAGCAACTTCATATCAGGCAAACTACAAACTACCATAGAAAACAGTAGTCACTCTACAGAGAGACTACTCCAAGAGCGTGTGAAAGTATGAGTGGGTGCTGGGAGTGTATCAAGATCTTTAGTACCTCTTTGTAATTGCAATTTGCTCTCAATATTTTATGGTTAGAATCTCTCTTAGTCCATTTAGGCTGCTGTAAACAAGCTACCATAGACTATGTGGTTTATAAACAGTAGAAATTTATTTCTTAGGTTCTAGAGGCTGGGAAGCCCAAAGTCATGGTGCCAGTAGAATTGATGTCTGATGAGGGGCCGCTGCTGCTTCTTTTTCCTCCTCCTCCTCTTCTTCTTCTTCTTCTTCTTCTTCTTCTTCTTCTTCTTCTTCTTCTTCTTTTTTAATGTTTATTTATTTTTGAGAGAGAGAGTGCAAGCAGTGGAGGGGCAGAGAAAGAAAGAGAGGGAGACACAGAATCTGAAACAGGCTCCAAGCTGTCAGCACAGAGCCTGATGCAGGGCTCGAAGTCATGGACCATGAGATCATGACCTGAGCTGAAGCCAGATGCTTAACCAACCGACTGATCCACCCAGGCACCCCGAGGGGCTGTTTTTAATAGATGGCACTTTCATGCTATGTCCTTACATGGTAGAAGAGGCTAGGGAGCTCTGTGAGGGTCTCTTTTATAAGAACATTAATCCCATTCATCAGAGCTCCATTCTTATGGCCAAATCACTACCCAAAGACTCCACCTCCTACTACCATCATCTTGGGGATGAATTCTGGTTGGGGGTTGGGAGGGATGGGCACAAACATTCAAACTATAGCAGAATCTTAGACCCAAATCTTTTATGGGTGCCCTTTCTTCTGGAAACTTAGAGCCACCATGGATAGTGATTTCTAAAAGTAATTCTTGGGCACCTGAATGGTTCAGTCAGCTAAATGTCCAACTCTTGATCCCAGCTCAGGTCTTGATCCCAGGATCATGCTTTCAAGGCCCACGTTGGGCTCCATGCTTGGCATGAAGCCTAAATAAAGAAATACATATGTACGTATGTATGTATGTATGTAATTCTCTAGGCTACCATATAGGTTTGCCTTATAACTTCAGGATCCAAAAAATTCCAAAAAGATCCTGAAAGTCAACAACACAGTACATCTAAAGATAGTTGGAAGAAGGAAATAATAAAGATAAGAACCAAAATTATTGAAATAGAAAACAAAATTAATAGCATCAACAAAACCAAAAGCTAGTTCTTTAAAAACATTTTCATTTTTAGGGGTGCCTGAGTAGCTCAGTTTGTTAAACATCCAACTTCAGCTCAGGTCATGATCTCACAGTCCATGAGTTCGAGCCCTGCATCAGGCTCTGTGCTGACAGCTCAGAGCCTGGAGCCTGCTTCGGATTCTGTGTCTCCCTCTCTCTCTGCCCCTCCCCTGATCATGCTCTATCTCTGTCTCAAAAATAAATAAAAACATTTTTAAAAAATTAAAAACATATTTTTTTCCAAAAGAAAAGACTTCGGGAAAACTACTCAAAGAAAAAAAAAAGGTACAAATAGTGAATAAAAAGTGTAAATAACTTAAAATACAGTAAGTTTTAATTATAGGAGAATACAAATTTTAAATAATCTTTGCATTTAATAAAGTTCAAAATTAAGTCTGAAAATACAGATAAATAATTCTCTAGAAAAAAAATATTAACCAAAATGAAGAACAAGCCTACATGAACCAATACCACTCAAAAAATTAAGTTAGTAATCAGAATTCTCCCCTGAAATATATCAGATCCAGATAGTTTTATTGTCAGGTTTTACCAAACCTTAATTCAGAAACAGATCATCCAAGAGAACACTACCCAATTTATTCTGTGAAGCTATTATAACCTAAAGCCACTTCAAAATATTTATAGAATGATACCATTTTTATGAAGTCTGAATGCTTCAAATTTAACACTGTTGTTTATTAGAATAGTCATTAATAGTAGTAAGAGTATAAAATGTATGAGGATGGCAGGAACCAACTTTAAGACAGTGGCAACTTCTGGAAAGGGAAGGAGACAAATGAGGAATGGGAAAGAGGATTACACGGAGGATTTCAATTGTATTATTAATGTTTCAGTTCTTGGAGCAAAAACAAATAAATTAAGGTAAAATGTGATTTGATAAAGTCCAATAGTAGGTACAGATTGACATTACTTTTTTTCCAATACTTAAATGTATACTTAGAATGATTCATAATCTGCAAATCAGGCTCTTACTAAGTGTGTGGCTGCCAGCTCAGTCAGGTTTCTTAGAATTACAAGTCAAGTATATTTGCCAATGTTAGGATAAGTCAGCTAAATTTTATGTGGCTATTTCACATACTTTCTTCCTAAGAGGTGTTCTAATTTTCTTCAATACCTAGCTAAGAAGAATTGGACATTTATAAAATACATTTTAGGCAAGATGGCAGAGGACGGAAATGGGGAAGTTCCAAAGGGAAACCTCTTTCAAAGAAAAGAAAAGTTGGTCTCAGACATGCTGAATGGATATATGTCAACAGATCATGATAAATAAAGCCTATTCTATTGGATGTGGCTCAGGCCAACAATGTGGATTTGGAAACTAGCAGAGGTACAAAAGCCAGAGTCATGCAGGTGGGGAGCCGACCTAGAGAAATGAGTGAGAGGAGTGATCTCTTGAGCGGGGCAAGGAAAGAGAAGAGAGGATTCTTTTGGGGTATTTTGGAATTACCTAGGAGCATTTTCAAACCAGACCTAACCCACCACCACCATCCTCCTCCCCACCATAAGGATCACTGCCCTTGTTAGCAGTATTGGGTTAAAATAAGCTTGCAAACCATTTGGGTGAAGGGAAAAGAGCAAAGAGCTAAGAATTTACACTCGCATTTAGGGTGTAAATGTGAAAGGAGAAGCACTTGATGGAAGGCTGTTGGAAGAGACAGATAAGCAAAGGTCTAAGACAACATAAGGCCAAATAAAGTCTTTAAAAGAGGAACAGAGCAAGTTCAGTAGAGACCCAGCCCCCCATTGCTGTTAGCTCAGACTGGGGAAGGGGTTTGGCAGGGAAGACTGAAAAAAGACAAGAAAGGTTTCATGGGTAAAGAAGTAAGGAAAGAAAATCCAAGCCTGAAAGAAGCCTGTAAGCACAGTTGGGTGTGATTGGATGTTGGTTTGGCCGAGCCTCCCAGCAGGACCACATCCTGAGCCTCAGCGTGGGGTATCCGTGATGTGGGACTGTCTCTAACCTCAGTGGTCTGTGATCTTGCAGTTAAGGTTGCCTGAGCAGTGCCCTTGTGACATCCTAATTTCAACTTTGATAATTTGAAACAATTTCAAACAACTTGCAGGAATGTACAGAAAGACGAATGTTTAACCAGACCTTTCCAACATCTCCATTCATCTACTACTATGATGACAAATATGAAATTCGGGAGAGAGAACAGAGAATAAAACGAAAGGTGAAAGGTATGTTGTTGAATTCTTGTGAGATTACCTTTGCAGTAGTTCCTAAATGTCTTCCTTTACACAGTCTTTGCCTGCTTTGGGTGTCATTGGTTAGCACAGAAAATGTTTTTAAATAATTACCATAGAAACCAGAACTTTCTTGATCTCCAGTAATCAGGCACCCACTTCAGAAACACCCTGCATTATGATCTGTTCACACTAAACATTTTTTTCACATCATGACCATTTTAGAAAATGTCCTGAAAATACTTCTATCCATACAGGGAAGCAGGGTTTTAAAGGCTCTTTTTTTTGAAAGTTTTCTGTTTGGCAAGTAATTATTTTTTCCATTTGTATGTCTCTAGTATTTTTATGGAAAGAAAGGCTTCCCTGCTAGGTGATTCCTGGAGTTTCCCCAGAGAAGTCTGTTCTTACCAGCCATGATTACCGCAGAGCTCCAGGGTCCACAGCCACCTTCTGTGATTCCTTTACTTAACTGTTGATAACATGAAGTTCTTTTAGTTTATAATTTAGGCCTACTTTTTTCTATTTCTTTTGCGCTGTAGTTTACTAAGTTTAACAGTGGTTTACTCAGTTACTTTTCTTGCTTTCAGGATGAAATAGTTCTATACTTCTCAAGTTGACCTATACATTATAACTCTTAGAGCCTTTTTGGTATTCTTTCTCCATCCCACCCCCAACTCTCTCTGACTTAAGGTCTTTTTCAAAAGGAATTATTTTCAACTCCTGCATATTTTCCATATTACATTTCATATAAACTCTATCTCAACTATATATAGAGAGAGATTACAGTACATAAAGATATTTATTAGGCAATTAAATTAAAAAAGAAAAGAAATGCACCAAAGTGTCCCCTCTGAATTAAAAGATTATGGCTCCTATTTTATTTTTATACTTTTTGTATTTCACGGGTTTTCTGTAATGAGTGGTTATAACTTTTATAATTCTAGGAAAACCATTTGTTTTCACTTTTAACTAGTAGTAATATTGGGAACTCTGTGGCTACTTTGAGGTTCTCTGTGATCCATTAGAATTTTCAGGCACCTGGGTGGCTCAGTCGGTTGAGCATCTGACTTCAGCACGAATCATGATCTCACAGTTCATGAGTTTGAGCCCCACATCAGTGGAACCCACTTTGGATCCTGTCCTCCTCTTTCTGCCCCTCCCCTGCTTGCCCTCTCTCTCCCTCTCTCTCTCTCAAAAATAAACATTTTTTTTAGAAAAAAAAATTTTATTTCATGCTAAAGTCTATAAGGAATTACCTTTGCTCTGTATCCTAGAGTTCACTTTTTGTGAACTTTATATTACTTTGCATTTCATCCTTTTTTTTTCAATGTTTATTTATTTTTGAGAGGGGGGAGGTGAGGTGCAGGAAGGGGGACAGAGGATCTGAAGCGGGCTGTGCCCAACACGGGGCTGGAACTCACGAACTGTGAGATCATGACCTGAGTCAAAGTCAGTCGCTCAGCCAACTGAGCCACCCAGGCACCCCCATCCCTATTCTTTTATTGGCCACTTCTTTAATCTGTCAAGGTTTTGTTGACATGTTAGTTTTTATCCCTCAAACCTCATCTCTCACTTACCCCATCAGAATCATGCCTGTCAGACACTTGTAGTAAAAGGGTGCCAAGTCCTGGTAAAGTGTAACACCAGATCTGGGACCAAAATGTCTGAGATACACACATGTGTGTGTTCTCCAAGCCAGTGATGTCTGCTCTGGAGGAATAATCTCCTGTCCAGTTTGGCATCCACCTATAAGTACTGTGACCAGACTTTATCTTCAGAGGGTGACTGAAATGTCATGAGACATTTGATATATCTTGTTTCACTTCATCGTCAAAGGCTGTTTCTTTATCCCCGCCATGACTTGAATTGGTCAGATGTGACTTTTCTTCACAAAGCTGAGATGATGGCTTTCACTAGTCTTCGTCTGTATCATTCAACCTAGTACAACTGTACTGAATAGAATAAATATCTTTGGATTTCTGGATATTTTCCATTTTTAGCAATCAGAAATACAGAACTATAACCATACAATTTTTAGCAGGTGAGTTTTACCTTAGTAAGGGCTCTTTCGAATGTTGTATCATTAACACATTTCATTGTCTATAGTTTCCCTGTCTGCTGAGTTATTTACAGACCAGTGTAAGCCGTGTGTGGACTGTCTGGCTGCTGAATATGCAGAAATACTTTTATATTTTCCAGAACTCCAGAAAAATGGGGATTTTCCAAGGCAGTTCAAGAGACCTCACATGGAAGCAGCAGAGAAGAGGCCCCCCCATGGCAGGAGGAAGAGCCATGCCTCGTGGAGAAACAGCAGGTGGCCTCAAGAAAAGAAAGAAACCCAAAAAGAAGCGAGCAGGAGCCGCAAAGAGCGTGAGAAACACAGGAAGGCTGACAGGGCTCACGAAGTGGAGGAGGACTTCCCCAGGGGCCCAAAACTCCATTCTCCTGGCACCTTCAAGACCCAGAAGGGCCCCAAGTCCTTCCACCACTCATCACATTACCACAAGCCAAGAGAAGACAAGCTGCCCAGAGACAGCAAGCGGGGCAAACAGAAGAAAAAGGAGAGCTATTTGGAGGGCGATGGCAGTGATAATTTATTTCTCATTAAGCAGAGGAAAAAAAAGTCCAAGCTGTGAGGCAGCTTCTGATTTGGCTTTCCACTGTTTGTCTGGTCTTCGTGCCTGTGACATCATGGCAATCTGTTTATGATCTATGATTAAATCAAATGAATTTTGTTTTGTTCTTTTTGTAATCTCGGCCGTACCTGAAACCGATGCACAATGACCATGGAGACCTCCATTCTCTGTGTCCAACAGGTTATTAGGTATAGAAGGGAAAAAAAAAAAAAAAGGACATGTACTCGGATTTCCCCCGTTCCCGTACGTCATTTTTACTCAGAATCCTAGGGATAAGAAGTAATCTTTTCAAGAAAAATTTTTAAAAATACTTTTTTTGAAAAAGTAAAAGCTCATCAAATATAATTCGTATGCTGTGGGAGTATGAAAATTAAATCCTTGCAGGAAGAGAAACCAATGCTAATATGAAAAATTCATATTTTTCAGCATTACTTTTTTTTAACATTGGAAAGGGGTAATAGCTATAAATCTAAATCCAGCTGTCCTTGCTCTTGAAGCTGGTGGCATAATCTTCTGATGGTCAGAGCATCAGAGGCGGAAAGATGACGGTGCCATCACTGAAGCCCTGAAGAGGCAGAGACACTGGCCTATAGCAAAATACAAGTAAGGAACCCATCCAGTAAATGTCATAAGATAGATTTCCTGAAACAAGTGAAAAAGAATCATTAAAAGGTTTAACGTAATCACAGTGCAATAGTTCTCACCATTTTTACAGCCACACTTCAAGAAGGCTGTCAACTTGGATGTATAGAGACAGATACTGCCCAATTAAAAAATTATTCTGTTTTCACGGGTTTTTTAACTACCACAAGACTATACAGAAATTTTTGTACCTGTGAATTTTTGTACTTATCAAAGCCTAATGTTAGAATAAGAAAAATAAAATGTCTGAAATAGAGTAAATAAGTTTGTCATTTATGTAAAAAGGCAAGGATTTGGGGTGACAAAGGGCGTACTTGGGTTAGACAAGTCACTAGAGTTTAAAATCTCCATAAACTGGGTTCAAAATGCCCTTGTTGCCCAAGCACTAGCTCTATGCCGGAATAAAATGAGATGGAGTCAGTTAACTCGGGCCAGTTTATGTTAGATTCTTAAGTTTGTGTTTTACTCTTTGTGAAGTACACGAACTGCTGTGTATGTGGTAGGATCAGCTCCCTTCACCTTCCGGCGGGGAGGGGAGAGTCTCCTCGCACTGAAACAGCTTCAGCGTAAATTGTGGCTGCACAGTCTTTAGTCCCCCGCCTTCCCTGTGGTCGCCCTGCTCACGGCGAAGTGTAAGCGTTCTTTGTGTGTTGGTTCGTGGCTTCCTAACATCAGCTGGGATTGTTTTGACTCCCAGGTAAGTGGCCAGAGTCTTTTAACACCCTGCTAAAAGTGACAGCCGTGAAAAATGGCTTCATAGAGTGGTAAGTCTTGAAATAATTGGTGTTATTCCTCATTAAGACCTAGGACAAGCCTGGCTTATTATTGGTGTGGTGTGGCTAGCATTCCTTCGGACGCAAGGGCCTCTTCCAGGCAGAGAGGGGATTGCCGTTCTTCAGGGTCTTTCATACATAGCAGATTGTTCGGAGAATGGAAGAAATAACGCTCTTTTTTTTTCCCACTCGTTTCTGCACATTATCCTATTTTCCCAATTTTTTTTTATTAGACAAGCATGTAAGGATATAATTTATACTTCAGGTCCATGCATTTATATGCAGATAGGAAAGGCAGCTGAGCTACTTTACCTGCGGGCATTAGGATGGCAAGGGAAGAGCAGAAACACCGAGGACCTTCTGCTCCATTTCCTCTTTGTTGCCTTGGCGCCCGATTCTTACACCAAGTGTTCAGCTAGAGTCAGTCAGGGACTCACACGCTAACTTTCCATACAAAAATAGGGAGCTTAAAATATATTAGAGGCTCCACAGTTGAGCAGATAATACTTTAAATGAATAAATACAATTGAGAAGAAAAGCAGATGTCCCAAACAAGAAGAATCTGTTTAGTTGCTAAGTTTGAGAAGCCTGAACACCTTTTGCCTCTGGCCCAGCAACCTGTGTGGCTCCTTTTCTGGGTTAGATGTTGGTTGGTTTGGCATTCTTAGAATAGGGAGAGAACTGTCTACTGTTCTCTCAGTGGCAAGTCTTGCTTTCATGGACCATGCTATTTGCAGTATTCAGTCTTTATTTTTGTTATACAAGGATTACATATTAATCTTAAGGGGAAAAAAAATTTTTTAATCATATCTGATTCTTACACCCAAAGATAGAGTTAAAATTCATAGTGTCTGTCCTTCCATACTTTTTTTCTATACGTATTTACATTGTTCTGTAGTTTTTTCACTTAATACATTGTGAAATTCCGGTTTTCTAATCAAATATCATTAGTGCCTATATCATTAGTTTTAATGGCTACATGATTTCCCGTTTATATGGCTATACCATAATTTATTTAATCAGCTTCCTCTTGAACGTTTTGGTTGTTTCTAATTTTAATTATTTTTAAAAATCCTATGCACGTCGTATCTTCTCTAATTATTCTATTTGATAAAATAGAATTTGTGGGTCTAAAAAATATGCATATATTTCATGCACATCTTAATGCATATTGCCAAATTACATTCCCAAGAAGTCATATACTGCCCAGTCACTTACACATTCCTGGTAGTGTGTAAGAGTGTTCATCTCCCCACTCCCACAATAATGGGATACTGTCATTCCTTTCTCCCAATGCCTCTCTGATGAGCAATGAAACACTGTTTGTTAGTGCTACCGTGAAAAGATTGATGTATGCTGTGTTTGTGTAAAGAGACAGATTAACTATCAATAATGTGTTGATAAAAGATATGGAGAGAAGCTTCTCATAGGGAAAAAGTGAAAATTCTTGTGCCAACAAAAGATAACATACAAAAAAAAAAAAAAGAGCCTTTCATTCATTCCTTCATAGCTATCTCGATCCTCTGATATTACCATTTTTGGTTTTCACAGTTTAGAAGGTACTACTGGCATCTTGTGACTAGAGGCCAAGGGTGTGGCTACACATCCTACAAAGCACAGGACAGCTCCCCACAACAAAGAGTTACCCAGCCCAAAATGTCTCATGTCTCAAAAGTAATTCTGTGGACAAGAAGGAATTCAGGTTGCATGCCATATCTGAAAGCAAGAGCCAGATGTATCCTTCTCTTACAAGGCTTAGACTTTCATGAGACTGTGCCAGTATTTGAGGGTTTGATGGGACCTATCCCATTCATCTCAAATAAGGACTGCTAGCTCCATGGCATGGTCTACAGACCTTTTGGACCACTTTGTGGAAGAACAAGGCCACTGAAGACTCAGCTGACTGAGGGGAATCACTTACTAGCATAACTGGGAAACAGATATAAGCAGGGCACCAGGAGAGTATAAGCTCTGTCAAGATAAATAATCATGGGGTGAGAACTAAAAGTCAGCTGGTGGGGAAGGAAAGAATTGGAGATTATCTAGTGGAACATTCGATTGGTTAAGAATGTCACGTTGTAGGAACCATCACCAGGATCCAGGCCCAGCAAAGGTCCTTAGGTTTTACTTGGGGTTAACTTTAGGTTAACATTCAGAGAAGTACCATCCTTTGGAAGACACCGTCTATTATGCGTGCCATGCAAGGATTCCCTTCATGTGATGAAGCTGTTTCACTGTGGCTCTAGCCAGAGAGAACAACTTAAGTTGCTGGTACATTTATACAGTGCACATTGTACATACCCACCCTCACAGTTGTGAAACAAATCACTTCTTAAACTCATTTACTAGGAGGTGTTTCCAGTTAAACCCAGTAAGGGAATGGGGAAGTGAGACAGGGAAGAAGAGAAGGAATCCAAGCCAGATGCCTTATGTCCCGTTCAGATCAAGGCGCTAAAGAGTGTGTGTGTGTGTGTGTGTGTGTGTGTGTGTGTGTGTGTGTGATTTTTGTTTTGTTTTGAATCAGTCGTTGGGGTGCCTGGGTGGCTCAGTCAGTCAAACATCTGACTTTGGCTCAGGTGATGATCTCCTGGTTCGTGAATTCGAGCCCCACGTCAGGCTCTGTGCTGACAGCTTGGAGCCTGGAACCTGCTTTAGTTTCTGTGTCTCCTACTCTCTCTGCCCCTTCCCTGCTTGTGCTGTCTCTCCCTCTCAAAAATAAACATATAGTAATAATAATAAAATCAGTCATTGTTTAAGAGCTGCCCTCAGGAGTCTTTCTCAGTCCATTGGTTCTCTATGCATCCAGGCAAAGTGGGTTTGGCAGGCAGGCAAAAAGAATTACTTTTGAGCAGGCAGCCCACTGACAGAGACACAGGGATATGAGCAAAATTCCAAAGTCATCTGCTACAACCATAGTCTCAGAACAGTCCTCCCCACAAAAGGATACTTAGCAATCTTAACACCAAAGTAATTTCTTAAAGTTTTTTTGAATGCAGAAAAATACAACTTTATTATATGTACCCATTTTCTCAATAAGCATAACAGTCCAGAAGATCAAATTTATTGCAACATTTGTCATAGTGCTCAAAAGCAGTTTCAGGAATTTCTACTTCCAACCAAGTTTAGTTAGAGTAACAGGGACCAGATTCACCGTGTCTTTTGGAACCATGTAAAAAAACGTATGAAGCAGTTTGTAAGACACTGGAGATCAGTCAAGGAAGGACAGTGAACTTTGAGAGATGGCAGACCAGAGAGGGGTGCCCTAGCTGACTACTGAGAGGTTTCCAGATTATGGAGCAAGGAAGGGAAGCCCAGGAATGGCTTGGTGGTCTCCCTGCATTAAGGAAACGGAGCTGGGAGTCTGGAAAAAACCAAGTGGCTTGAGTCTGCAGGTCGGATTACCAGAAAGGAGAGAGCTGCACAGAGAGAACCTGGAGATCTGCAGAGGGTCCCCCTCCAGCCTTGGACTGAGTACTGGTCAGTGCACGTGGGTGAGGAAAACAACTGAAAGGATTAAAGGAAATCTGGAGCTCACACAGGGCCAAGAACCACTTTTGTTCTCACCAGTCAGAGTGGAAAACTTAA